TATAATACAATGTATATTGGCCTATAGCTGATGGTTAAATAGGAAATACTAAGTTGTAATTTTTTTGAAAAACAAAAAAAAGATATGATTACTCAAACTTTCTAATACCCTGAATTTTTCATTCAGTAATCACTAAAGAGCTGTTCCAATCCCTTGCTTGCTTTCAGGGGCAATCTGGAATTAGATCACCATCCTTAGAGGAAGTTCCATTACTGAAAACTAGATGACAAAAAAGGGTTTGTTGGGCCAGTAGACGCTTCCACTGGAGTAGTAAACAATGAACAATGTGCCTAGACATAGCCCTAGGGCTTTGTTTCTCTAATGGTAACGGAAAGATTTTTCCCTAGGATGTGATTTAGGGAAAAGCAGTTTTTTTTTTTTTTATCTCATTCTACATATCATCTGGACTGCAGAAAGTATAGTAACAGCAAGAAGTACCAAAATAAAATCAAGATTTAAGAGCAGTGGCATGACTACCCAGTCTGCTGTTTCAAAGTGACCAGAACACCAAAAAGATGCCATCTGTGGAATCTTATGGCGGCAGAACTATGAGTCACCCTCTCCAAATGAATAGTGAATATCCCAGCATGATCCTCTCTTGCAATTAGATTTGGACCTCATTTTTCCTCAGAAGAAGAAAGAAGGAAAGCCTATGGTAGTGAGTTAGCTCCTTCTACTCTCAATGTAAGGCAAAGGAGTTTGAACTGTGTAGCAGACCCCAGTTTGTCCTTCAAGGATAAGAGGAGAGCCAGGAAACCAAGAAGAGGTCACGGGCTACAGGTCTTCTCTATTTCACCTTCTCTATTTCAATTCTCCTTTGGTCTACTCTATTTTACATTCTTAAAAAGCTTTGTAAGAAAACCACTTCCCTAGAGGAAACTACTAAAACCAACAGCACTGCTCAGATCTAGGAAAATCTTCAGATAGAGTATTTGGCATAACTACTTGGTAGGAAGTTGACATTCCATAGATTGAGGGCCACATCAGGCGGACTGCTTCTTCAGGGAATTAGCTGAACTCTACTATGTAATGTATTTCTGATGCTCTCATCTTCGCTGTGCCAGAAGATGAACTTGTCTTACGGGACAGCGTCTCCTTCCCAAGAGTTATAGCTGCAACTGAGGGGGAAAGAGTAGGGACAGAGACAGAACAGAACAATTATGGCTACAATAGGAACAGAACCTGGTTGGAGCAGATCTGCCAAGCTGATCTGTGGGCAGCTCTGGAGTAAATGCCTGCTGGACTTCTCTGGCACATTGGGCATGATCTCCACACTGGGCACCTGGCCAGAGGGCTGCAGAATGGATGGCAGTGGACAGAAGGTCATTGGAAAGGAAAAGATATTCATGTGTGGGATGGGAAAGTACAAGGTTAGATTGCTATAACCTGGTCTGAAGCAAAGCAAGATTGTTCATCCATCTGTCTCTACACTAGGTCAAATCACAGAGTGCTGAGAAAAACAGGAAGGATGTAAAGGAGGCTGGTCACAATAGTGAGTGTCGAGCTGCTCAGCGGAGAGATGACCATAGGGTATATTAAGTTCATAGGTTTTGCATCCTTGACACCTAAAATAGCCAACGTTTACCAATACTACTGCACAACTATGAGAAGAAAAGTCAGGGGCCAAATTCCAGATCTTGCAGCCACAGGACTAATGGTAGATACCACTTGCTTGCTTTTTTCCAGTCTTTTAATTCCTGTTCAGTCATATGAAGCTCAAAAAATTTATGCTGTACTCCAGGGAGCTATATTTTCCAGAAACACATGAAGTTTGCTTTCTTTATTCTAAATAGAAATAACCACCCCAGCACAATATACTTAACCATTTAAACTTCACTGTATTAGGGCGTTTTGTCTTTAAACCTTCACACCACATCTCTCCTAGTTTGGGCCAAACATTACCAGTTACCATGTGAACTGCCTTGCTCCCTACCCGGATGGCCCAGGTGAACTCGGGGATCCTAGACAAACCTCCTGCCTGGTCCTTTTCAGAAGAGTCCTCAGGGCCACCATCCATGACCCTTAAACCTATGCATCTACTGCCCACTATCAGGGCTGGCTTTAGTTTATAAGCCAAGAGTCAGAATTAGAATCCAGAAACCAAGGGGCAGAATTAACTTAGGATAGGAGGTCTTGTGGTATGTCTCTAACATCAGTGCATCTTGAGATGCACTCTAGACAGGTGTCTGGAGGCATGATGCTCTACAAGGAAAACTATGCTTGCTTGACTTTTCTTTGGAAAGAAACCACAGTTCCCTTCCCCAATGTCTTCTCTTGAAATTCCCCATTCAGAAGTTACTGCCTTGCACTCTTTCCCTCAAGCTACTGCTCTGAGACCTATTTCTAGATATAAGAACAGAGAAATTCTCTTTCAGGCTTAAATCTGCGTAGAGACTAGACAACCAAGTTGAGGACGAAGAGAGAGCAGTGCAGTTGGTGAAGGAGGGCTTGGCTTCTATGCAGGTTTACTCTAGTCTCCAGCATTTGCCTCCTGGAGTAGAAGCTTCCTGGTCTGACATCTTTTTCTCTTTTTAGGTCCTAGCCTGGCACAGTCAGAGACCATTGCCAAACCACTGTAGTTTGGGTGACACCTGCCTGTCTTTTACTCAGTTAGTATGTAGGAGGGCCAGAGGTTGCACTTGGAAGGCAGGGCCTAGTAGGAGGGTAATTGCTGAGCAAACCCTCAGCGGACTGCCTTTGTCTTGTGCTCAGCCTGTGCTCCCCCAGGACTCCCTCACCTCCTCTGTGAGCAGGGTCATCTGTACAGTCCTCTGGGGAAGGGGATTCCAGGTAGGGGAAAGGAGGGGCTGCTGTCTAAGTGACGACTGGGAGGGAACTCCCCAAAGGGAGTTGGGTGAGTGGAAGGTGGAAGGAGTCTGCCAGCCAGTGTAGGGAGGGAGGGGATCCCCTGAGTCCCTACACCAGGGGAAGCTCCTTTACCTTGATGGGGGAGGAGGTCAGGCAAGGTGGAGCTATAATTCCTCCAGCACCCGGGCTCTTCGCCTGTTTTCCTCTGATGAAATTCTCTACATCATCCTTCTCAGTTCCAACCCCTCCCCTCCCCTCTCCACCCCGCCCCGCCCTGTGCCCATCCCTGCTGGCCACTGGGTCCATCGCCCAGGAGCCGCCTCCCCTTTCTCCTCCCCTGCGGTTCTTTCTGTTTTTCGTTGGCATCTGGCCGGGCACAGCCACCCTCCCCCCCTTCACTCCGCAGAGGTCCTGGTCCCCTTCCCCTCCCCCACCCGGCCCACCTCCGACTGAGGCGGAGGGAGAGGAGGAGGATGCAATTCCTTCAGTCCCTCAGCCCGCCCTCCCTCCCCTGGGGACCGGAGCCTCTGAGCTGGGGCTCCAGTCCAGGTCTCCCTACTAACTGCCTCGGTGGCACCCTATTAACTGTAAGCAGCCTTTAAGAAGGCTGAGGTGCCCCCACAGCGCTGACCTACATAGCCCTGCCGGGCGGGAGGGGCTCTTCTCCAAGTCCCCTGGCCCCGGCCCCGCCTCCTTTCTCCCCCGACTCCCGGCCTCTGCCTCTACCCTTACGAACCCAAGGCGGTTTGAGTTGCTGACTGGGGCAAAGGGTCTAGGTATGGGTCCCACCCCAAATTTGGGAAAAATCAGTGTTCAGCCTAAGAAGGCTGTACATTTTCCTTGTATCCTCTCCCCAAATATCTTGATCTGTGATTTTGCCCAAACTACCCACTTCTGTCCGCCCCTCCATTCTGCCCCTCCCCAGGCATACAGCCCAACGGGGGAGGGCACTGCCCTGTGTTGTTATTTTGCCCCGAGAAGCCCCTTCTTTGCTCACGCCCCTCTCCACAGCCTCACCCTGGGCCCCTTCCCTGCCCACTCGCAGCTTCGCCGCGGGTGGGGGGCGCGCGGGGAGCAGAAATGTTTGCACACAGCAGTTTGGGGGGTTGCTCTGGCCACCCAACCCTTACAGACATACGTACACAAACACCCGACACACGCCCTGACTGAAACAGCGACAGCTCTCACTCCGCCCCCAACACACACTGACACAGACATACACACAGATACTGACACAAACGCAGGTCCAGACAGCGACACAGACGCGCACACCCAGACGCGCACACGGACATCAACACATCCAGACCCGAGGCTGCTCACGACGGACCTCGGCCCCGGGATCCAGACCCCGGGCACACGCAGACACGCTCGACGGGGTACACAGGAGGGTGCACACGCCGGCACACCCCGCGGTCCTCAGACAGAGATGCTCTGAGACAGACACTGGGTGTTCCAGCAGCTGGCGACTTTAACCCCCGGTGCCAAACAAAGCCGACGGGCTCTCCCGCCCACTCCCAACCGGAGCCTCCGCCTCGGGTCGCCCCCGCCCGCTGGCGC